ATTTCCTCTTGCATATATATTCTGGCTGATGCAGTGTTTCTGGTTTATTTTGTGCCATATCCTCCTTCATCATGTTGTGGATGCTTACTCTTTTAACCTGCTAGTGATAATTTTTGGCTTTGGTTTCTCTCACTGTTATCATGGTTGCTGCTCACCTTGTCTTACTTATGCTGCTATTCTCCTGCATTTACTTGTTTTTGAACCCTGGATACTAACAACCTTTTCTCTATTGTTTTTCTTGTTTTGGGGGTTGTAATCGGGGTGTGATTCTGACTTCGTAGGTTGGTTTTGGGGTTTTAATTGTGGTGGTCTTCCTGTGTGTCTTTCAGTTATGGCCGAGTCTTCTAAATGTCGCAAAACCACTGTGTCACATCCCAATTACAATACAGCTAAATTCCAATCTAGAGAAAAGTCCAACCTGCATTAGGATTTTTATCATTCTTGGATAGTTCATTTAGAATAGAATGTCTAACCCAGTGCTTTTGAGTCTATCCTTATCCAGTCTCTATTCGATGCTTTGGGGGGTGACCAGGTCTTTCATTTCTTCAGTCCACAAAACCTTAGTTGGGTCCGGGAGTTCTACTACAATATGCACTCCATAAGCAAAGTTGCCCCTTCTCTCCACACTTGGGTTCGTAACAAAGAGATTTTCCTTGATGAAGAGCTTCTCCGTCAGTTTTTTGGCCTTCCTGAAGTCCGAAACTGCCACTATCCATTTCTTGCTACCCACAACATTGCGGATTTTGACCAAGTCACCACTGAATTATGTGGCACTCCTCGAACTTGGATCACCGAGGCACTCATTTGAAAAAATGAGCTGTTTTCCCGGTTTCACCTTCTCAATATCATTGTATGTGCCAACATTCATGTCACCACTCATTCCTCCAACATTACTCAAGATTAGGGTTATGTTTTGTACTGTATTGATCATCGCCTCCCTATGTACCTGTCTGAAATGATTGTGGCCAAAATGATAGGCGTCTTTGAGGGTCGCAAATCCTTAGATCTCCCTTATGGTTGTTTGTTAAACCGTCTTCTCTCCTCTGGGTGTCCCTACTTTTGAAGATGATGAGTTTGCTTCGCCTATTAAACCTATCACCAAATAGACTGTTTCCTAGAGTCAAGCCCATGTCAAGGGGGGGACGTTTGGGGCTGGGGTTCCAATACAGGTGATGATCCCCTCGCCAAGGAGGTAGGGTTTGATGTGGTAGATGCAGGTGCCCCGGAGTTGCGTCCTCGATCATTTCGCGGCCAGCATCATCAGTTCGAGCAATCCATCATGCACCACCTTGATCAGATGGATGCTAGGCTTGATGCGTTTGATGGCTGCCTAGCTCAGTAGACCACCATGCTTGCTCAAATCCTTTCTCTTTTACAGATGCAACAGCAGCCTCCACTGTCCTCACAATGATGTTTGATTTTTTGTTTTTGGACAGTTTGTTTTATTTAATTATTAGCCTGTTTAGTTTTTGTTTCCTCTTCCCTTTGTCTCTCTAGATCAAAAAGGGGAAGTATAACGTTTTGGTATATTTTTGGGTCTTTTTGGTATATGTTTGGGTTGTTTGGGATATTTTTATCTTTTTGGGATATTGGGTTTGCATTATATAAACTGTTGGGATATAACTGTTGGTACCTTGTGGGATATTGGATTAGACTAATCAAGTTTGGACTTTAATTATTTTATAATTATATCTTGATCAGTTATTTGTTTTTCCTTGATTACTTTATCTATTCCCCGTGCTTTGGATTATATATTTTTGCAGGGTGTTTCTTCAAGGATGTTTGCATAAAAAATGGTGGTTTAAAGGAGTTCGTAGTGTTTGTTCACGTAGTTGTTGGGTCTAGTGCGTGTGTTTGCTAGGAAAACTTGTTAAAATATTTTGTCTGGGAATTGACAAAGGGGGAGATTGTTAGGTCCCTTAGTCTTGTCAATTCTGCGAACAAACATAGTTTATTGAGTTGTAAGTTTCCTAGTAATTTGCCTTGCTCGCTCGAGCGAAGGAAGCCTGGCTCGAGCGAAAAAACTTTGCTCCCAGTAATTTTCTCTGTCTGTAAAAATATTGGGAAGGAATTTTGTGCACTCAAGCGAACCTCTTGGTGGCTCGAGCGAAGGCACTTAAGGAATACACTCATATTAGTCTCATTGCTCGAGCGAGAGATCTTGCGCTCAAGTTACCGTCACGGCCCTATTTGCTATAAAGTTGCGTTTCAGTCAAAATTTAGGGTTACGGCTTCCAGATTCTCTTCTTGGGTTTTAGGGTTTTCTTCTAGAGGTTTTTGTGCTTGTTTTCCTTTGATTTCTTTGTGAGTTTGTTCATGAATCAAGAGAGTTAGATCAAAGGGTTGTGGGTTTGATTTCATGAATACAAGAGAAGTTCTTCTTCGGTGGATTCCGGAGATTCAAGCGTGGAGTATTCGAAGGAGTTCGAAGCTGTGCGTGGTTGTTGATTTCACATGGATGTTATGGATTCAACATCAAGCTGATCAAGTCCAAGATGAAGGCGGTGGTGAAAGAGATACAAATGGTTAAAGACAAATTAATTGAGTTTGGGTAATTTATTTTGGTAAATTTCTATTCTTTCTTTCTTTCTTAGTGGATTGATTAGTGGCGTTTCGCTCGTGTTTTTTTAATGAAAATTGGAGGTGCTCCAAATGTGGTTTTTTCCACGTAAAAATTGGTTGTGTCGATTTATTAATTTTGAAGAAACAATCTAAATCACTTTTGTACAGGCTAGATAATTTAGATTGTTAGTTTTAATTGTTTGGGAATTGTTGCAATTAATTCTGGTCCGAATCACAAATCACTAAGGTTTTTCAAGGACCTATTGGCAGTTTACCTGGGATCCACTGATTGCCAAAGGGAAGCACAATTCGTCTTACCCTTGTGATTCACTAAGCGCCACAACTCGGCTAAGGAATTACCAAGGGAAAGCGCAATTTATCTAGCCTCCAAATTACCAAAGGAAAGGACAATTCATCTTGCCCCTGATTTTACCAAAGGGAAGCGTAATTCATCTTGCTCATGAATTTTCTAAGAGGCAAAGCAATTCATTTTATCCTTGAATTTCCTAAGAGGCAGAACAATTCATCTTGTCCCTGAATTTCCCAAGAGGCAAAGCAATTCATCTTGCTCCTGAATTTTCCAATAGGCAAAGCAATTCATCTTGCCCTCGTGATCTACGAAGTGTGGATTTCATCTTAGTCCGGTGGCATATCTGACCAAAATAAAATTCTCCATCCAGGTTCGGTGGCATATCCGACCAAGTAACGATCTCATTCAAATCCCAAATCCGGCAGCAAATCTGATCAAATAATGGTCTCCGTCCAAATCCCAAATCCGGCAGCATATTTGATAAAACAACAGTCTCCATCCAAATCTCAAATTCGGCGGCTTATCTGATCAAATAACGGATAATAATATCTCCATGCTGAAAATAATAATGCACAAAATTCATACTTCGCAAATAATAAAAATCCAATATAATACCTTATCAAAATATCTTCATGCTCGGAATAATAATGCATAAAATTCATACTCCGCAGATAATAAAAATCTGACATAATAACTAATAATATCTCCATGTTTGGATTAATAATGCAAAAAAAATTCATGCACCGCAAATAATAAAAATTCAACATAACAACTTATAATAATATTTCGATGCTTGGATTAATAATTCAAAAAAATTCAAAGTCTCGACGATGCAGCCACACTGTCTTTTTGTAGGGGGTAACTAATCATGCTTCAATTTATTTACCCATATCCTGGCTCATCCACTCCTCTTGGCCCCAGATTTTAGTGTGATGTAATCATGGTAAAATTTTCAAGATCTTGACAAATTTAGGAGTTGCAAGGTAATTAGTTGCACTGCTTGTTTACAATTGCTCATTCATGAATTGATTTTATTGATATCGGAGCTAGTTTTTCCAAAGCTATTGCTACCATAGCAGTAATTGGTAGCTCGGCCATGAGAGTAATTAGTTTCACACTTGTTTTGAGAAGAACATTTTCTTTTGAGATTTGAGAAACGATATTGAACAATGAAGATAAACATCTCAAGATATCCACCTACAAAATCGAGAATAGTATTTAATAGGTCGTATCATCGATAGAAGGGCACTCCAACATTAAAGTTAGTAACACTCTACGGAAAATATTCGATATTACAAATGCTTAAAGCTTTTTGTTTAAATTTTTTTTCTCTCTTTTTTATATAAAAATTTATTAATTAAATATTAAATATAATTATTTTAATAAATTCAGGATTCTAATTGATATTTCGAATAGTTTGGGGAGGGTAAAACGAAGCTTCAAACAAAGTTTCGGTGCCACGTCCGCAAGTTCCATCTAATTATAGGTGACAAAATTGATCCAAAATTGAATACCTTTTATATAAAATTGAAGGTCTGAAATTAAAAAGGAAAACAAACTCACATCACACGTACATTACATTATCATTCTCTCATACTGACTGAATCCAAAATAATCTAGTAATCATATAGTATTATTTATACAATTTGTGATAATCATAATCCTCTTCCTTACTGTTCACCGTTTCTCACTGTTTTGACTTACTGTTCACCGTTTCTCACTGTTTTGACAAGCATCAAGCTTCATATTGTCCTGTAATTTGACTTACTGTTCACCGTTTCTCACTGTTTTGACAAGCATCAAGCTTCATATTGTCCTGTAATTTAGTTACCAAAGAGAAAAAATTGTACATGTCAGTGTACGATATAAATTTGAACTCAATCAAGATTGGTTCCAGACTCATAATTCATGAAATTCAAACACATAAAAGCATTATTGATTGTTCAAATCACGGTCAATAGTCTTTTAGATTACCCACATTATGTGATTGAATTGCATAATGTGGGTATTAATACAGATTGACATGATAACTGTTGATTTAATTCTTTAAAGGTCCATCAAAGTGCATTAGATTTTGATAGTTGTCCCAGTATTATATTCTATACAAAAACCTGTGAGAATAGACATTTCCATATTAATGAAATTGAATTGTTTTCAATTGATATTTTTTGATTGGAAAAGAATAAGTTCATTTGAAATCTCACACTAGAAAACATGCCATGCTCGCTCCCATTATCGTCCAATAATCTACGCAGCGTCCTATAATCTACGCAGCGTCCTGTTAACAAGGACAAACCATGGAGGATCAAAACAAATGTTAGAGAAACAATAAGAGCAATTCTATAGAAGAATGAAGTAGAAATATTGAACAAGACCTTTTCAATTTAGTACCTAGTTTGAAGTTCGTCTTTTAGGAGTTTGTTCTTGACCAAATGAAGTTCATGGAGGATATTACTTATGCTCATTCGACCTTGTGGTGACTCTGTAGAGCATGCCACTCCAATATTGACCATGGAAATCAAACATTCCACAATTTTGCTGCCATTGTTCACTTGAATTGTTGTTGCTCTAGCCTCTTCTTCCTCATTGTCTAGGAGTACCGGGTCTGCAATCTCCATCACTCGGTCAGGCAAGGCCATTCTTGCGAAGTTATGAAGATTATGCCCTTCCTCAAACATGTTCTCTGTGGGTCTCTTCCCTGTTATCATCTCCAATAACAAGATCCCATAACTGTAGACATCACCATAAGTTGACATCTCACTTCCAAGCCCATACTCTGCCATTAAAACAATTCACATTCAAAGCCCAAGGATCATTTTCCGCAAAAGCATATTGATACAAAAGAAAAAGGAAAAATCAATTATGATAAATATGAATTCCATAATATGAAAGCAATACATTCTACATATTCCAGTAAGATATTCTATTAGAAGAAGGGTAAAGAGTTGTTACCGGGAGCTACATATCCGATGGTTCCCCTTACTCCAATTGAGCTACTTTGATTTGGATTGGTGAGCTCGGGGAAAAATCTAGCTAGACCAAAATCTCCAATATGGGCAACCATCTCACGGTCAAGAAGGATATTACTTGGCTTCAAATCACAGTGAATGATCGGCTTTTGGCATTGGTGATGAAGATAATCTAGCGCACAAGCCACATCTATGGCGATGTTTATTCTTTGTAGAAGGTTGAGTCTCTGCTGCTCATTTTGCCCATCATTTGTTTCTAGACTTGCATGCAACCACCTCTCTAGACTCCCATTTGGCATGAACTCATAAACGAGAGCTTTGAACTCATTCCCTTGAAAATCAACACTGGAACAAGAAGTTATGATCCTAACCAAGTTTCGGTGTCGAATATTTCTCAAGGTTTCACACTCTGCCATGAAACTCTTGATGGCTCCACGATTTTGAAGGTTAAGTACTTTGATAGCAGCAACAAACTCCCGATCTTGAACGAGAATTCCTCTATATACTGAGCCAAAACTACCAAAACCAATTAGGTTCGCAGAAGAGAAACCATCTGTTGCTTTGAGGAGTTTCTCATAAGAGACTTTCAAGAATGATTCTTTCAACACTGGAACTGTAGATTGAGCTGTTCTTTGCTCCTTGAACAAATAAATTGTAAAGAATGACAAAAGCGCTGCTCCAACAAGTACAGAAGCTGCTGTAATTTCCAATATATGTGAAAGAGGCATCTTATGTTTTGATTTCTTGGTGATGCAACTCGGTAGTTGTAGCTCAGAAATACCCCCACAAAGCCTATGATTTCCAACAATTGATATTGCACTTGCATTTGCGAAAACTCCCTCCATTGGTAACTCGCCCTCAAAATCATTAAAGGACAAATTGAGAATCATTAGGGAAAATTTCTCTAAGAAAGTCGGAATTTTTCCAGACAAGTTGTTATGAGAAAGATCAAAGTTTTGAATACCTCTCAAAGATTCGAATGATAGAGGAATGGATCCTTGAAAAGAATTTTCCTGCATATAAAGGTTTTCAAGGCTAGTGCAACTACCGAGACTGCTAGGAATTTCACCAGACAACCTATTCTCAGAGATATCCAATGCCATTAAATTTTTAAGGTTTCCAACCTCTGTTGGCAAGGAACCAGACAAACGATTCCAAGCTAGATTTAATGAAATTGACAAAGATGAGACTTTCAAGAGTTCTTTGGGAATGTTTCCACTCAAGTTGTTTTGGTGAAGGTCCAGGAACAACAGCCTTTTACAGTTAGCAAGCCTTGAGGGTATGGTCCCCTCTAGTCTGTTGCTCCCTAAGGAAAGTTCAATCAACAATGACAGGTTTCCGATGGAATTTGGAATTTTCCCTGAGAGGTGGTTCATTTCGAAATTCAACACTTGCATCTTTGGAAGATTTCCTATGTTAGTTGGAATTGTACCTGTGAATTGGTTACCTTCCATACCTAATACATCCAAGTTGACAAGGTTACCTATTGTTGAAGGAATAGTTCCATATATTTGATTTCTACCAAGAATAAAGGCAAACAGATTCTTTGACAGGTTGCCAACAGATTCTGGTAACACCCCTCTAAATTGGTTTACCTCCATACCCAATGCTTCCAAATTGCTACAGTTGGCCAAAGAACCAATAAAGGCTAGGTCATCAGGTTCCCCACTTCCGAAATTGTTATCAGATAGAGCTATGTCCTTGAGATTCTGTAGTCTTCCAAAATTAATTGTTATTTTCCCATTGAAGTTGTTATATTCTACTTGAAAATGTTCGATTTTTGAAAAATTTGATATTGACAATGGAAGGGTTCCGGTAAATTGGTTATCATTTAACTGGAGGAGTTGAAGATCAGGGAACATGAAACCAAAGCTTGGCGGAAGACTACCATGAAGTTGGTTAAAAGCCACAGAAAAGACATTTAGGAAGGAAAGATTATAAATAGATGGAGGGATCATACCAGAGAGTTGATTGCGACCCAATCCAAGTTGTGCTAGTTTTTTCAATTGACCCAAGGTATCTGGAATACTTCCTCTAAAAGAATTGCCACCAGCATTAAAGCTTTTCAGAGAAGTAAGATTCCCAATGAATGGAGAAATACCTCCCGTCAAATTGTTCACCTGAATGGCAAGAATTGTGAGCTTTGGCAAGGAAGTAAGCTCTTTGGGGAATTTCCCCACTAGCTTATTTTTACCAACACCAAGGTGTGTGAGGTTGGAGCAGCGGGATAAGCTAGCTGGAATTTCTCCTTCAAAGTTGTTGTTGCTCAGGTTCAAAATTTGCAACCTGAATAGGTTACCGAGTTCAACAGGGATTTCACCCTGAAAAGTGTTGTTATAGAGCCACAACCTCCGAAGGAAGGTGAGGTTCCCTACATAAGGAGACAAGGAACCAACTAGACCTTTGGACTTCAAGTCTATAACGGTGACTCTCCTGTGCCGGTGACCGCATATGACACCTTGCCACTCGCAGAAATGGAGAGAATTGTTCCATGAGCTCACAACCCCATGAGGGTCATGCAAAATCTTTGACTTGAAGGCGAGCAACGCAAAACGATCAGTCTCGTTCCCAACAAAGGTACTACTAGCTGTAGTGGCTGCCGGGAGTGTTCCAACATGTACAAGTGCCATGGCTACGACACATATGCCACTCCATACGTAAAATAACTGGAGTAGCTGAAAACCTATTACTGAAAGTGGTGATGCCATTTTCAGATCTCTTTCTTTTTATTTTTTATTTTTGGTACGCAGTTGCAAAGTTTGGCTTGGTTGTGATTATTTATAACCTGCAATTTCCTTCCTCCACGGGTAAGCATTGTCTGTGTAGGGTGGAATATGTGGGACTGCAAATGGGAAATTCCTAATCACTGGGGACTGCATGCTTGTAGTTGATTCGGTTTTTGCAATTTTAATTACATCGTACTTGAAATTCTCATATTTGTGTCAGTTTAATCTAATTGGCAATGCTCCTGTTTAAAAATTGAACGGAAATCAACAAAAAAAATAGTTAATTTGAGAAAAAATAGTTAATTTATTCTCCTCAAAGGGAGGGGTTGATGTAAATGGTTCATTTCCTTTGAATGAACCATTTTGCTTTTCATTTTTGCTCAATTTCTTAGTATAACGTATTAATTTGGTTAAATTGATGCAATGTGAAAAATTAAAGGAAAAAATTAATACAATTCAAAATATAAAGATTCAATTAACACGAGATAAATTACACTAAAAAAAAGGGGGGAAAAGTCACAGTACACTCATGAGGGGTACACAATGATTCTCATTCCTTGTGAATGCACTGTAATTTTAAATTGTGTTTGGATCATATATCTAGATAGAAGTTTAAAAGAAAAAAAAAATGGAGAATTTTTTAAGGTTCCTGATATTAAAATTTTATACGATAAAGAACGTACAATATTTTCATAATAGTTAAGGTTCCTCAACATTTCTATAAATAAAATTCGACTCAAAAAAATTTTGTCTAAGTCAGAGAAACTTCATCTCGACTCAGAGAAATTTTGAAATTTCTCTGTGATCATATCACAGAAATTTCTCTGAGTAGGGGCCAAAATTTCTCTAAATCAAATTTTCTCTGTGAAAATGTTGAAGGACCTTAACTAATAAAAAAAAAATATATTGGACTTCTCTTATTACACAAAGTTAGAAATAAATGTTTCACTAATTTTCTCAAAAAAAATTATAATTCACTCATATTGTTCACATTTTTCTTCCCTTTTTTCTTTTCTCTTAAAATTCCTATTTAATTCTATGATCTAAACACAATCTTAATCTAGAATTGAAGCCAGCTTCCAGGGCCTAGGCTATATGTGATGATATTTGTGATTGAGAAGAGAACACATGTCCAACAGTTATTAAAAATGCCATGGGGCATTTGTATCAAGTTGCCAAGATACAACATGGGGCTTTTGTTGCATACCTCTAATTACCTTGGTGGCAAAAATTGATTTTTGATTGACTAGTTATCCATGTACAGTAAAATGGACCGTCTTTCAAGTTTAAACAACATATTGAACAGCATGCAAACTCAATATTTAAGAATCCTTAATTTGGAAACTAAATATCCATATTTTGACTTTTACATCATTTTAATTTCTCTAATTGTAATTGGTTTGCTTTTGATTATGAATTTATGATTTTATCTCAGTTTGGTCTAATTGATTACAATTATTAATATTTTGGATGAAAAATACGCATATAAGCAAGAATGAATTATGCTTTCATAGGCAAAATTCTAAACTTGTCTATTGAGTTCAACTCATTGAATTAACCTCAACTAATTTAGCGACATTTTTTATTTATTTATTATTTAATTTTTTTTTTGCAAAAATCCTAATGAGCATTATCAATTCGATAAAATTGACACAAAATATAAAATTAATGATCAAAATTGAATTGATTAAAATTATAAAAACTAAATTAACAGTAGAAGAAAAATATGGGGACTATAAATATAATTTATTATTTTTCATTTGATTGAAATTTATTTCGATTATGTTTGTAGAATGAGATACACACACCAACAATGATTCTGGGGGTGTGTATTGTCACTTACAATAATATGATACTCCTATGCTTGTTCGTCAATCTTAACTCCTTAAATGGTGATTGTGCGAGCACAAAATAATCTGCTCGTATAATCCTGTTGATCAAGTTTGCACTTCTCCAAACGTCGTCGCTTTGCTACCTGAAAACACACATGAACTAGCCGACGGGTGTGTGCCAGAAACCCTTCTGATGCCTAAGTCAGCAATCAGACAATAGATAATAAACTCTGTGTATTAGAGAGTAAGAATTGCAATACTTGTGCATAGGTCCTACTATGAGCTTTTATAGATTCTACTTGCCACAATCCTAATAGAACTCTAACTTTCCTTAGCAGAGTCCTCCTAAGAATCACACAGCTAAAGGATAACACCAATCCTTAGAAAACCCTTCTCACCACCACCCAGGTGAGATGGTTTAAACTCTTTATTCTAGCTATCACTGCGGTCAACCAAGCTATCTCGGCTCTGTGCTCCCCATGGCAGAGCCGTGATGACCCTATCTACAGGATGGCACTCAGCCGAGCTACACCTAGCTCGGCCCTCTGCACTAGCAATCATCTCGGCGCGATAAAGGTCTGGCCTCAGATAACTAGGTCCAAGCCTTAGCAACACATCTGTGATCGGCATAGTGCCTGCTCGGCCCAAGACTGAGCTACACAAAACTCTTATCTCAGCCCATTGTGTGGCCTAAACTTCCAAAGAAGATTTTGCCTAGCTCAACCCAATTTGCAACACAAATTACCCTCTCAATTGTCCCTTAATTCCTTCTGCGGAGCATGATTGGGATTACGCCTCTCTAGCCAAGCTAATAATGCTTAGCTCAACCGAGCTAAGAAGGTTGCTCGGTCACGAGGTCTACTCGATTGCAAGGTGTCTCGTCAACTGTCTAGCTCATCTGACACGATTTTACTCCTAAGACACGTGGCATGCCCCTATTAATGCACGTACCCCTGTTACAGCCATCTTGCACTATCCCTAAAAAATATGAATCATCCCACCTTTCTACTTCTTGTACAAATATAATTCAAATATAGTGAAGAGTCAATCCCACTATTCATCTTCTCAGTTTCGAACCTTTGAACCAGAGCCTCAATCCTTTTGTTTCTTCCACCTTTGCCCCAAATCGAAGCCAATTTCAGCTCCTATGGATTCGCATTCGTATAATGAGAGACCTCCTCCAACTGGGTTTTAACCTCACGCCTAAATTAGTAAGTTCTCCGTACCTATTACTGTTTTTCCATGAACATTCTACCTGTTTAGCAATCTTGTTAACCCACTATCTACGTTAAAATATAATATTATAGTGTAAATATCCACTAAAATGCGCTTGAAAGAGCTTGTGAATCGCATCAAGGCCTTTAGACAACCCTCAAAATTCCATAAGATCACAACTGTGATTTTGATCCAAAAGTATGCTGCAACCCAGCTAAAAACCTGTATGTACAACATTGAATGTACCCAATGAGCTAGTCGTGCTGCTTGAACCGGGCTAAAACCTTGCCCTCAGTCCAAACCGAATTGAATCCTTGTCCTCAGCCAGCATCAAGCTAAAACCTTGAACTGGTAGTGGGCCAAGCTGTGTCCAGCCGATGACCACACTAAGTCTTCACACGCACACTCTCGACCAAGCAAACTATTGTCTTTAGCCCGATCAACATTTTGGGCTTAACACATTTTATTTTTTTCACGTTGCAGACTTGACTAGGTTGTCCAAGCACTCCATTCACTTTGCCCCTCTATCAATGCAGCTTAAATGAGCAACAAAACAACGTTGATCAATTCAGCCGAACAAACCCCAATAACCCTTAACTTAAAGCCAATGGGCAAATATGGCTTCATGGTTAGCTTGCCAGGGGCCATAACAGAATTTAGGCGGGATTACAACGTTCCTGATGACGTGCAGTTCACCTTAGCCGAGCAAGATACTATACATTGGGACAGGCTCGGTTGTCGCCCCTTTGCCATAATATCAATAGTAGATGATGGACTCCGCTTCTTGGTCAAACCCCTTATTTGTGAATTTCTCAGGTAGACCAGACTTGGCCCAACCCAATTGTCCACCAACATGTATAGGATCATAAACGGCATCGCTGAGCTCAATCGCCGTGTTGGCCTCAACCTTGGATTGGCTGAGATATTCCACTAATTTTCGATCGATTAAAATGATGATGGTTGGGTCTACTACCTCAAATTCAAAAGAGGCTAAGAAAAAGTCGTCAAGTACACATCAGACAAAAATTTACACGACGATGACTTTCTCTGGGTCTCTGGAAATTGCAAGGACCAGGAGGCCAGGATATTGGGCTACAACATAAACTGGAATACAGGCACAGCTGGTATGAGTAACTCGATCTTATGCTTAACTATTTAATCACTTACTATCGTGCTAATCATTCATCTCTTTGCAAATTTGAACGTGCTCAAGGAGAATTATTCGTACGGTAACTAGGATGGGCTCCGCATTGCGCTAAGATATCGGTATCGGGATCAGACCGAGCTACTAAACTTCGAGCCGACCTATCAGTATAACAGCAAGAGGAGGAACAAAGTCACCGACTTCTTTCTCGAACCTTCACCAAAACCAGACCTAAGCCTTCCTCAAATCAATCTCGTCCCCCTCACTAAAGAGCAAGAAATGGCCAAGAGGAGAGCCGTGCGAGCTCTTATCACCAAGCAAACCTCCGTCGAAGTCTAAACTAAGCAAGTTCCTATTGATCAATCGCGTGATACCGTTGTCACCCTACCAACCACTAGGGCAACCTCATCTCGGCCAAGCAAGTGCGCTCGCACTTCATCCACCGAGCAATAACGCTTGGTGGATGAGGAAGAGATTGCACTTCCTAAGGTCAAGCTATCTAAATAACAGCCTGCTCATTCTGGCCAAGCAAGCCCCTTTTTCCCACCAGTGTGGACACTGGCCGTGACCTTCAAAGGTCGTGTTGTGTCCACCGCCGACTCTGTTAGAGCCAAGAAGAACCACATGCTGGCCTTCTACTTGTCAAAAAGTGTTTTCCTGTCAGTTGACATGGAGAGGCACGAACAGCTGATCGAACTAAAAGCAATTCGATCGGCTACCAGATCTCTGGTTCTGGTAAGCTTGAATCCTATATTTACTTTCCTTAGCACTTACTCTTTGCTCAGGTTGGTTGATCATTTGTGGATTGAATTTCAGGCCTACAAAAGAGCCACATTGCCCATAAACGTGTATTGGAGCTAAAGAAGACAACTTCGGCGGCCATTGCTGACGGTTAGGCCAAAGACGTCGAGCTGAAAGCGCTAAAGACAACTCTAAC